GAAGGGGCCTCAGGCAGGGGTGGGTCAAGGTGGGCAGGCACGTGGGCCCTGCTGTGGCCAGGACTCAGCAGGGACGGAGCCACATTGAACAGGGTCCCTGAGCACCGGGGAGGGTTCCAGAAGGGCGACCATGAGGTCTGCTTTCCCCTCAGCAAGCTTCAGACTGCCTGGGTTTGCACCCTGGCTCTGTCTCTTGCTGGAAGTGTGACCCTGGCCATGTACCTAAGGCCTCATGCCTCAGTCTCCCACATGTGAACCGGGGCGGAGGGCAGCCTCCAGTGAGGGCACCTCACCATGCTGAAGAGACTGAGGGCCAGGAGCAACAATGAGAAAGGAGGACAAAGAAGTGGCGAGGGGGAGGCGGAGGGTGAGCAGGTGGCAGGGAGGGGAGGGCGGAGGGAAGGGAGCAGAAGCCTCCCTGCGTTGAGCACGTCTCCCAGGTCTCCCAGGCTCCGCAGAGATCACACCCCAGTCCCTGCAAAAGCCTTCGGGGATTAGGGGTTTGTCATCCTGGGAGGGCAAGGCTGGCCTCTCCCAATCACCTGAGTCCTCGGGAGCCCAGCCCAGAGCCAGGGCACTGGGGCCTCAGCTGAGTTTACACAACAGCCCACTGAGAGGAAAGGAGATAACAAGGAACAGCGGGGAGCCCCACTGGAGAGGCTCCTCAGTGGCCTGGCCTGGCCTGGCCTGGCCCAGCAGCATCCGCAGCAGCACCCGGCCTGGGAGGAAGGGACATCCGGACCAAGGAAAGTTCTTGGAATTGCCAACAGGGAGCCAGAGTAAACACGTGTTAACCGGAAGTGAGATGTAGACAAGACTGTCAGGTAGATAAGCCTCCCAGACGGTCAAGAAGACTGTTCCTAAGCCCCTGCTGCGGGCTGGGGGTGGGGATGTGGGGGGTGGGGCTGGCTGTGCTCCTTGCAGGCGGGATAAAAGGGATAAAAGGAGTGGAGGCCCAGAAGAGATTCAGGGAGTGCAACTGCCAGCTGCTTGCCAAAGTAACCCAGGAGCCGATACGAGAAATTCGCCCGGCTAAAGGAGAAATTCACCCGGCTAAAGGAAGATCGCAGCAAGCCAGCCCGCTGCCCCACTCCAACACACGCCCTGAACTCCCGGGTGAGACAATGGTGGGGTTTCCTGGCTCTTGTCATCTCTCCCACCTGCCCTGCTCCTCGCTATTTGATGGGTTCAGCCCCCGACACCCCCATGAACTCCTCTCTGCAGGCCTGTAGGGTCAGAAGCAACCAGAGTTCCCGGCGTCCCCCACGTGGATGGCCCCAGATGGCTCCAAGAACAGTGAGTGAGCTGTGGGGAGCACGCCTCGGCCCTGCTGTCCTGGACTCTCTCCTCCCTCACCTACTGAAGGGGTACCGCAAATCCGTCCTTCGCCCCATGACACTCCCAGAGCTTACCCATTCTCCTGCTCCCAGTCTCCAACCGGCGTCCTTCACCGGGAAGTTATTTTTCAAAAGCGCATCTGAATCTGGCACTCCTTACTTCCAGCCTCCCACGGACGCGGCGGCGTCCGCTGCCCTCAGAACAGCCCCAGTCTTGGACACCCTGCTGGTGCTGTGCCCCTCAGGGCCTGCCAGGAATGCTGGTGTTTCCCAGGCTCCAGCAGGAGGACCAGCCACCCTGACCCCGACCCTGACCCTTGAGAGGAGGGGTGGGCAAGGCCTTCACTGGCCTTGAGTAGGCCCATTCCTGCCACCTGCCAGCGTTCAGTCATGGGGGGATGGCTCACCCCACAGGCAGAGGGACTCCTTCTTTGGTCACTGGCTCCCCTATCTTCAAAGCTTCTGAGCTGAAGAACACAGCCTCCTCTGGGAGTTGCTCCGGCCTGAACAACAAGCCACTGACGGCCTGGCTCCTCTGCCTAGTCTCCTGTGCACCTGTGACCCTCCAGGAAAAGGCACTCAGCAGCCCCAAACAGCCACGGACTAGGCTGGGCAGGGCGAAGCCCTAAATGATGACTCTGCTACAGGGACACAGGAATGACCCCGTGCGCCAGGAGCTTGTGGGAGGGAGCCCCGATGCCAGGGACAAGCTTCGGAGCCAGAGCCCAGTTATTGGCCTGGCCCCTGATGGTGGCTGTGCGGTCTGAGGGGGCCCCTGGCCTTGGTGCCTTGGTCCCCACTCGTACAGCAGGGCACGAGCAGCAACCTCGGAGGGTTCCTCAGATGAAACACTGCTGGGACAGGACTGGGCCCCAACAAACTGGAGTCCTGCTTTCCTTTTCCACAGGCCCTTGCTGGACCAAGGAGAAGGAATGGTGAGAAGAGGCTCGGGGTGAAAAAGAGGACTGAAAGATGGAACAGTTTCCCGTGACAGGAACCGGACATGGGGTGCCCCAGGACAGAGGAATGTGGGGAAATGCCACAGAGCTCCCTGCTGGCTGAAACCTGGAGACACCCGTCTAAGGCCCCCCAGCCCAGCCAGCCCAGTGACAGGAATCTGGGGGGTACCTGGGCAGAATCCTGGTGGTAGCTGGGAGAGAGCCCTGTGGGAAGGACACCCGAGGAGCCAGTGTTTCCCACACTTGCTTGACCATGGAAACCCATTAAAATCCTCCCAGCGGACGTCAAGGAAGACACATGGGGAAAGGGAAGGAGTTTACAGCACAGGCTCTGAAGTGGGAGGCCTGGTTACATTCCTGCCTCCGCCACAGAGAGCGAGTCCGCCATCAAACCTGTTTCTTCATCTACAAAGGGGGAAGGACCACGCTCTGTGGGTTGGGAAGATGCAATGAAATCAGAGCATAAAGCCCAAGATCACACCTGGGAAACACTCGTATGTGGCAGGGCCAGGGCTGGTCGTGAGACCAAAGGAATCCCCGTTCCCCACCATCATCCTTCACAGCACAGGGACTGCAGCCACTTCTTCCACAAACCCACGCCAAGGACCTCCTAGGTGCATAGAACTGACTGTGGCGATCATTGCGGGACTGGTCCAGGCCACCCAGGTGCAAAGGCTGGCAGAGGAGACGGGTGTGAAAGAGTCATCCAGAGACTTTGTTCAGAGGGACATTTAGGAAGTGTGAGGGAGAACTGGGGCAGACTGTGAGGAGGTAATCAGGATACCTGACGTCTAGGTATCAGTGCTTCCCTGACAAAGGGGCATGTTAGCCAATATCTGAAAGATTAATAGTGCTCACATGGATGAGCTGGAGGTCAGGGTGGAGGCAGGTATCAGAACAAAGAGGGAGCCTTACTAGGGCAGGGAGGGGACAGACGGGGAACGTCCTTAGAACGAGCTGTGCCCAGTTGAGGACTGGAGGTGAGGGACAGAGGGCAGATGTTGGGGACTTCTGGGTTTCTGGTTTCAAAGGCAGGGTGGATGGTCTGAGACTGCAAGCACCTCTCCAACAGAAGCCAATGTATACCCCCTCTCCCCACTTCACCTCTGTAATAGCATTTTCCCAGTGTACCATGGACTACTCTTTATTTGGCCTCCCTCCTACTGAAACATAAGTCCCAGGAAGGCAAGGACTTCAAGGCTCACTGAGTAATCCCAAGAGCCTCCAGCCCCTTGAGGGTTTTAGTGCAAGTCTGTCAACTGGTTGAACTTGGAAGAAACGATGTTGAGATGAACCTGTGTTAAGGGTCCTGGGAACAGAAGCCTAAGCCAATAAAAAATATATCATCGGCATATACATGATGATGAGCATAATAAGAAAAAAGTGATCACAGCTTGGATCCGCTCTCCAGACCTGTTTTCTCGATAAAAGATTTTACAACAAGCTCCAATGTTTTGAAGGTTATGAGCTAGACGTAGCACTAAGTGCTTTAAAGTTTTAGTTCACTGATTCCTCATAATGATCAACTTCCCAAAGGCCAAGCGGGCTCCATCAGGACTTTGCACCTGTAATTTCCTCTTCCTGGAATTCCACCTGTTTATCCACCAGCTTGCTTCCTTCCTCCCTTCTCTTCTTCAGGGAGGCTTGCAGGCACCATCTACCATTCCTTGCTGTTTGTGTCCCCAACTCTACTAAAGTTTTCTTTATAGAAATCCTCACCACTTGGGGCATTTCTATTTGTACTTACTATTTAACCGCTCAACTAAAGTAGGAGAGGGAAACAGTACCTGGTATACAGCAGGTGCTCAATATGTACCGAATGAAAAAATGCCCCACTGTGAGACAAGTGCTATTTAGAGGCCTATTTTACAAAGGAGGATACTGAAGTACACAAGAGATCAAGGCAGTGGCTCTCCGCCTAGTGAGAGGGGCAGCCGGGTCCAAGCCAAGCGGTTAAGTCCTTGTACACGTCCAGTCATGGTGATTACTATAATTACTACAGGCTCACTCTGTGGCACGCTTTGAGCTACATGCCATTCCTCACTTCTAGCAATAACCCGCGAGGTCGGCCCAGTAGTCACCACCACTTTACAGGAGACAGGCAGCGCCGGAGGCCGCCCAGCGAGTCGGGGGCGGGGCTGGTGCTCGACAGCGGCTGCTAAACCACCCTCTGCACCCACCCTGGGCCTCGAACTGGAGATCCCGCCTCGGCCCGTGCCTCCTCCCTCCGGGGCCCGGCGCTCACCCCGGGGCCGGGATCCGGATCGCGCGCCCACAGCTCCGCCACCATCTCCATGTGCAGAAACTCAAACAGCGCTACGTCCGCCATGCACCAGCTTCGCGCGCCTGGTGACCGCCCAGCGCTTCGTCCTCCCATTGGCCGACCGGCACAAGCCCCGCCTCCAACATCAAAGCGCAAGCCCGCCTCCTCCTGCTCCCATTGGTGTTTCAGCTTAGTCCCGCCTTCCCAGTGCTACCTCACGTTGTGCGCGATAGAACCTGGGAGACTAAGAAAGAGCCGGATCCTTTTTTCATTGGCCGCACGTGACCGCGTCTCCGCTCTTCTCTGTCTCCTCCCTGTTTCCGGGTCCTGGAAACGTGACTTAACTATTTTTTTTTTAATCTGGAGTTTACAGACTTTCCTGGCCGCACAACCCGGAAGCACCTAGTGCACCGCTTCCCTATAGGCTAAACAGATACTCATGTGACCCTGCACGCTCGCCTCAAAGTCAGGGGCTTGCTGCCTGATCGATGGCCCACGGGCCCACGTGTCCGCGCAGCGCCCGCCCAGCCCCTCGCTGATTGGCTGCACCCCCGTCTCCCTCGGTGCCGACGCGACGCGACGCGACGTCTGAGGAGCGGGTCCCGCAGACTCCGCGCTTCGGTGACCCGGTACGGCCCTGGGTGGTAGCGCGCCCGCCCCGAGTCCAGCGAGCGCGTCTCCCTTTCCGTGTCCGGAGCCCGCGTGCTTCCGGGCCGGACCTGGGCTCGGGGGCGTGGAGGGCGTGGCCTGTGGTCGGAGGCCGAATCGGGAAGTGCCGGCCGTGGGGCTCTGGGAACTCCGGCTGTTGAGAGCTCGGCCGCGCGCGCCTCAGTTTCCCCCTCGGCGCGCGCAGAGGCCGGGGTCCAGTGGGCCCCGTGGTCACGGCAGGGATGATGCGCTCCGCGTGCAGAATAGGAAGTTGAGGCCCCCGTGGCCGAGGGGCTGCGAGTCCCGGAGCTGCGCCGTCTCCCGCCGCGGGGGGCGCGCCCCCCACCGGCCCTTCGCCCCTCTTCCCCCTCGCTCACGCCGTCCCTTCGCCCTCTTCTCCCGTAGCTCCGCGTCATGGCGTCCCAGGGTCGTGGGCGGAGGCCGCCGCGGAAGCCCGAGACGGTGGTGCCGGGGGAGGCGGCCGAGACGGACTCGGAGCTGTCTGCGTCCTCGTCGGAGGAGGAAGAGTTGTACCTGGGCCCCTCGGGCCCGACGCGCGGCCGCCCCACCGGGTTGCGGGTGTCCGGGGAGGCCGCGGAGACCGACTCGGAGCCCGAGCCCGAGCCGGAGCCGCGGGCTGCGCCGAGGGACCTGCCTCCGCTCGTCGTGCAGCGGGAAACAGCGGGGGAGGCCTGGGGCGCGGAGGAGACGCCGGTGCCCGCCCCAGCGCGCTCGCTGCTCCAGCTCCGGCTGGCGGAGAGCCAGGCGCGGCTGGACCACGACGTGGCGGCCGCGGTGAGCGGCGTGTACCGCCGCGCGGGTCGCGATGTGGCCGCCCTGGCCGGTCGGCTGGCAGCCGCCCAGGCGGCGGGGTTGGCGGCGGCCCACAGCGTGCGCCTGGCGCGAGGAGATCTCTGCGCCCTGGCTGAGCGCCTGGACATCGTGGCTGGCTGCCGCCTGCTGCCTGACATCCGCGGCGTGCCGGGGACCGAGTCTCAGCAAGACCCAGGACCGCGGGCCTAGCCAGGACCCACTCCCCGCCTGACTCTGTGCCCCTGGGGGTACTTTGCAGCCTTTGGATCCTGACTCTGTAGCGTAAATAGCGCCCTTCCCTCTTTGCTGTCACCCAGATTACCCAGCCCCCTGGATAATTATGTGTGAGCAGGTGTCAGTGGGGGCTCGGAAAGGGGGGTGGCTTGGGTTTAACCTCTGGCCTTGCTCTGGCTTGTGCTATCTCAGAGGCTTAGCCCTTGGGTAACTCCTCTCTCCTTGAGCTGTCTCCATCCTGGGCCGCACCTTTATTGCACTTTCCCTCTCTGAATGTCTCCTCCTGGGCTCTGCTCTCAGGACCTGGTCACCACTCTTGCCAAGGAGCCCTGGGATATGGGTCATATTCCCTGCCTCCACTTGACTCCACCTCTGACCCTGGCTTCACTTCTGGGATTGTGTTCCCCTAGGCTGGGTCTTTTTCTGCGCCCCCAGACAGGCCCCTGATTACCTGTTCTACTCCTTGTTCTGCCTCTCCTGGCTCCAGCTCCCAGCTTAGCTCTACCCCCCCCACACACACACCTGACCTTTTCTGCATCCAGCAGAACCTTTAGAATTAGTTTTGCTTTTTTTGCTTTTCCCATCCTGTTTATACTACCTGTTTATACTAGTGGGGCTTTGGAGACATCCCCCGAGTTACTCCTGAGTGAGGCTCCCTCCTCACCCAAGGGGTCCTCCTCCCAACTCTCCATTTCCAAGATGTGTCCTCCGCACCCTTCAGACCAAGGTGGCACCTTAGGTCCAAGATCCGGGCACCAGACAGGTCACTTACTGACTAATGGTGTCAAGTGTCCGGCACTTAGGGCCAGACACAGCCACACCCCATACCTTGGGTGCTTATGGTACCCCTGTGCATGTGAGGACCATGGTGTGTTTGCTGAGTCAGCCCCTGGGTGCTAAGATGGATTGGATTGCTGGCCCAGTGCAGGGTCCGGAGTTAGCAACTCTGCTCCTTTTCCCTCGCCCCCCTAGTCCAGCTCCAGCGTCCCCACCACTCATCTCCGCCCAGAAGCTGAGCTCTGAGCCTCCAAGATGGAGCATGGGCAAAGGGCCCTTTAAACAGACTCTCAAACTCAGAACTTTTTCTGCACCAGTTGCTCTTGTCTCCCCACCTCAGTTGCAGTGGGGTGGGTTGGCGAGTTCTCTGGGAGTCCGGGGAGTGGGATCTTAGTGCTCAGCTGTGAAGGTGAAGCTGTAGCCAGGACCCCTGGTTTTGCATCCTGGCTCTGCGTGTATTTGAACCTCAACCTCGTTAATTCCACAAACGCTGAGCACCCAACCTCAGCCCTTGCAGAGTTCAGTCCAACGGGAGAGACAGACATTAATAAAGTATTCTTTATTAATGAATGGATAAATGGATGGAGCTCATCATTAAAATTTACAGTTTGGATACTATTTCTGGCATTGCATTCATGCCGTGAAGTACAGGTGTTTGAGGATGGTTTAATTGAAAGCCGTCTGACATTACTCAGGGTTTGAGGAGCACGACTTTCGTCCTAAAGAAGCGATGGGTGGGTTTCATCAGAGTCCTGAAATGTAATAGGTGAAACTGAAGGGGGTGGAAAAGAGTTGCAGGCAGGGGAACAGCATATGCAAAGTTTTCTCTGAAGGAAGCAAAACCTATTTAACAGAAGACAGTGACATCTGTTCTCTGCCTGCAGTAGACAGAGCTATAGAGGTGGAGGGAGGTTAAGTGTTACCAGCAGGGGCCAGATAGAGCTGCACTTTGAAGCCAGGTAGAGATTCTTGGTCTTTACTGAACAGCAGCTAACTAAGCAAAGTAGCTGTTTTGTGGGCCGGGAGCCCATGACCACAGGCCAGACTGGGGCTTGAATTGCCCTTTGCACAGTGGTCCGGGAAACGTCAAGCATAAACATGAACGAGAGTAGCTCTGGCTGAAACCAAGGCATGCACCCTCAAGGAGCCTCAGGCGGGATTGCAGCGGATTAAGATCAATCAGATTTATGCACAATCCAAAGCACACCCGAGGGTAAAATGAGAGAACTGAGTGAAGGAGCAGGACTCCCCTGAACTTCAAAAGGGGTTCGAAACAGCTGCACTTTGAGCCAGGCGGGCACAAGTCAAGAGTTGGTGGAAAGTTTGTTTAAGAAGTAGCTGATCAGGCCTGCCTAGTGGCCTTGGGATGAAGTCTCAGCTCTATCACCCCTATGGCCGGAGTTCAGTGCCGGGCCAGGGAGTGACCCACAGGGCGCAGCAGACCTCTCCTGTCCCACCCTCTGCTCCCCTCAGCAGTGTGTTTTAGTACATCCGCCTGTTCTGCTCCCCACTTGGTCTCTGGTGAATCCTCTCACCCCCACACCTCTGGCATAGAACCCCAGTTCTATGCAAAATTTAAAAAAAATTTATTTTACAACAGCTTATTTTTACATCATTTTGTACATTTAAATTTAAAATTTTTTTAAAGTAGTAGTTGATCCCTGATAAGCCTCTCCTCACCGTTCGCTCACCTCTCCTGGTGCTGGACAAGGCCAGCCTGGGGAGCCATCCTCCCAGGGAGAAAGGCTGCTGTGCTCGGGGTGGGAGGTCTGTCCATTCAGAAAATGGGGATTGAGGAAGTGTTATGGTCAGTGGTAGCGTGCCAGGTACCTCCCCTGACTTAATACTGAAAAATGAAGATCTAGAGAGAAATAAGCTGCCTGAGACAGGCTCCGAGAGCGCTTGCTCAGGAGCCTAAGAGCTGGTCATGCCCACACCCATTCCCTGGAGAAGTATGTCTCTTCAGTTGCTCCCCAGGGGTCACCCACCAGGCATACAAGTGAGAACCCAAAAGGGAAAAAGGAAATCCCAGGAGGCCCCTCAGGAGCGTGCAGTGGCAGAATCATCTGTCTCCAACTCCCCCCACCCGGAAACAGAAGACTCTTTCCAAGAAGGAACTAGTTGGTAGTGATCTTAATGAGACAGCGGCAGTGGACGTCTTCCCACAGGGAAGAAGCCTTTCCCCAAAGAGGAACTGGTTGCTGAACAGGAAGAGACAGGAAACAGGTTGTCTCTGGGAAAACTAGGACATTTTCTGTCAAAGAGGAGCCACTCAGGGCCCTCCCTGGGGGCACAGCACGGCCCTGTGAAGCAGCTAGCCGCAGCTGCTTCACCAGGAGCTCAATCCCGGGCCAGGGAGCTGACCCACAGGGCGCAGCCGGCCTCTCCTGTCCTGCCATCTGCTCCCCTCAGCAGTGTCCTTCATCCATCTATCAGTTCTGCTCCCTACTCTGTCTCTGGTGAATCCTCTCACCACTACCCCTGCTCCTGTGCCCCTGTGACCTATTCCCCAGGTCTATATGCATAAATAAATCTTTTTTAAAAAAAGCTGCGCAGCAATGATCCGAAGAGGCGCTCTTTGATGGCCTGATAAACTGTCAGTGAGACTTTGATTCCAGTGAACACTTACAGGGCACGACATAGAAGAACCCTTTAATAGACCCGTCACCACATAAGATAAAAAGACCATTGTGGGTTCACCAATAACAGGAGGGAGGTGGCACCCTCTGTGCCCCACATCAGGGGGAATTCATAGTCTTCGTCACTGGTCAGAGATGCCAGTGGGTGACTCTTCATCATGGGCCTCTCAGTTTGTCAGGGCAGATGGGTTGTGAAATAATCTGTGACCGACTGGAAGACTGGCTTTACCACCTGACCAGCAGCAGGCTTCTGGCCTACCCATATTGTAGTTTGTGGTGCTGGGCAGCCTAATCTTGGGCACAGCTGAGCTGTTCCAGGTTGTTCACAAAACAACCTGTGAACTAACCATAATGTTGGTTGGTTTGGCATAGATCAGATTTGTCACAGAGTTAGTGCTAGATGGGCCTCTCTGGTGGTGCAAGAAGTTAAGTCTCAAAACTGCCAAACTGTTGCCAGACACTGGCACGAGTTTGATCCCCGTCCAGGGAGCTGACACACAGACCTTCCCTGTCTACCCGCTGCTCCCCTCAGCAGTGTGTTTCAGTCAGTCTGCCTGTCCTGCCCTCCAGTCTGCCTCTGGTGAATTCTCTTACACCCTCAGGTCTGTACCCCAGTTCTTGTACACATAAATAAATAAATCTTAAAAAAAAAAAGTTACTGAGTTAGTGCTAAGACCATGGATGACCTCTGTGAGAGGCTTGGGGTGCTGCCTAGGGGATCCCACAGGGTTAGTTCCCATGTGGCCTTCACATGTCGCCTCTGTGCCAGCACCCTGACTGTTTTCAAGGGGAAGGGGATGTTCCAGTCACTGCTTTTACCTGAGTAAAGAGCAGTCCTTGAACGCGCCCATCAATATTTTCCTGAGTCCTATAGTCTCGTGAAACTAAAGGAGAAAGTTGGGGTGTGAGCTGTGGTGCCCCACCATTCCATCCATCGATCAGGTGCTTGGAGAAGCCGGGATGAAGTCTCTTGTTCCGTCTATGTAACAAGGTGCTGGGTAACCGCCAGTTGGACGGATTCATTCACATGATCATGGCTTGCAAGTCCGGTGCAAGGGGGTGCTGGGTGTCCCCTTGACTGGTAGAAAATAACAGGGTCATTAGGAAGAGCAAAATACAGTGGAGACAGCCCAGGGTGCAGGGCCAGAGAGAGCAGCACAAACTGAAAGAAGCCCTGTTCAGCCAGCCTTACAGTAAATGGGAGACAAGGGGAAACTTACTTTAAGAAGTCTGGGAACTCAGGCCCGCCCTGCGGCTCGACGGGTTAAAGCGTAGCACTGTGAAGCTGGCCACAGCTGCTTTGGTGCCAGTTGGATCCCTGGCCAGGGAGTGACCCACAGGGCACAGCAGACTTCTGTCTCCCCACTGCTCCCCTCAGCAGTGGACTTCGTCAGCTGCCCATTCTGCTCCCCACTCTAACTGTGGTGAATCCGCTCACTGCCCCTGTACCTCTGGCCTGTATCCCAGCTCTGTATGCATAAATAAATAAATATTTAAAAAAAAAAAAGAAGTCTGTGAACTCACTGTGAACCCCCTCCCTGCCTACCCTCAGCGCCAGAGGTGGCCACGCCAGAGTCTGTGTGGGGACAGACCCGCCTCTCCCCACCACCCATGAGCCTGCAGCTGGGGAGCCGCCCGCAGGGGAGTCTAGCCCTGGACCTGGGCTTTGGGGCCCCCAGCGCCCGCAGAGTCAGGGCTGACGGAGCCCAGCCTGCGCCCGCCTCTGCTCCCAAGCAGCAGCCACGTTTCTCTTGATGGAGGTGAGGGAGGAAGTCTGCAGGGGAGACCCACAGGAAAGCCAGTGCCTTGTGGGGAATCATCACATTTTTTTTTAGGCTTAGGAGAAGGGGTGTAGGCCAGAGTTAGGGGGTGAGAGGATTCATCAGAGACAGGGGGGCAGGGAGCAGAAAAGGCAGATCTACTGAAATACACTGCTGAGGAGAGCAGTGGGCGGGCCAGGAGAGGTCTGCTGTGCCCTGTGGCCCAAGATTGAGAACTCAGGCCATAGTGATGGCAGTGCTGAGGCTTAACCCTTAGGCCACCAGGGACACCTGAGAATCATGGCACTTTTACCATCAATGCCTCCCCTTTCCTCTTCATCCACACACATGCTGCTCTGTAAGTTCTGTACGCTGAACTCAAACTTGTGACAGAACAAAATAAATGCAAAAAAGCAAAAGAATTTGCCCTTACCGAGCTCAAGTTCTGGTGAGGGGAGAGGAATGTCAACAAGATAAATATATAGGGCACCAAAAGGCAGTGGGATTAAGGGGGAAAAATAACACAGATGCCCTGGGGACATGTGGGTTCCAGTTTTTATAAAGGGTCATTGGAGACGTCACAGGGGAAAAAAACTGAGGAGGTGAGAGAGGGAGTTCTGGGGGCTATTGAGGGAGGAATTTCTAGGGAGCAGGAACAGCCAGTGCAGAGGTCCTGAGGTAGATAGCATTGCTTATTGGAGAAGCAGGAATGTGGCCACTGTTTAGCTTGGGGGGCAGTGGGGTATAGGAAGAGATGGGGAGATGCAGTTTTGGTGCAAATCACGGAAATCTGGTAGGTTATGTGGGGGCTTTAACATTCACTGAGTGTGATGGGGGTCTGGGAGGGTTGGAGCAGAACAGGGATAGGACGCTGTAGGGGTGAAGGCAGAAGCAGGAAGATGAGGTGTCCATTGTTCCTGGGAGGTGCTGAGAAGGTAGCTTGGGCTTAGCTGCATGGGAGTTACTGGTAACCAGAACGGTTTGGGTGGCACGGGGGGGTCAGGACCCCACTGGACCCCTCTCCCCAAATGGAGTGAGTACAGGAAGGGTTGGGTAGAGAACCAGTGTGGGCAGACCTGGGAATGTTGATTGAGATCAACATTCTCAATCTGGACTCCCAATGAGGACCATTGGCAGGGGGTTCCACTGAAGACAGGCAGGAGCCAGGCCAGGCAGCATGAGAAGCTGTTTTTGTCCCTAGGGCTCTGGTGATCTGAAGGCAGTGAGTTCCAGAAGTAGTGAGTTGTGCTGCAGAAAAAGCTGGTGGAGCAGAGGGGGGCTGAGAAGGGGTGAGACTGGCTCTTCTGAAGCTACCCCATGTTGTATTTTAAAATTTATTTATGCATACAAGAACTGGGGAATAGGCCAGAGGTGCAGGCAGGGCAGTGAGATTTGCCAGAGACAGTGTGGGGAGCAGCAGAACAGGCAGATAGACTAAAATACACTGCTGAGGGGAGCAGCGGGCAGGCAGGAGAGGTCTGCCAGCCATGTGGGTCAGCTCCCTGGCAAGCTGGGAATTGAAATCTAGCTGCGGGGGGGGGGGGGGGGCTGCGATAGCTTCATAGTGCTGCGCTTTAACCCCTTACACCACAAGGGACGACCCCACTCCATGCTTTACAAGGGCATTCAAGGCCTATGCTCTGGTCCCTGGCCCCCCTGGCCCACCTCACTGAACCGGGGTGCAGCCTGCCACCTTACTCGGCTCACAGGTCACCGTGCTGCCCCCTAAGCCCAGGCTGGGGTCTGGGGGGTGGGTTTTGCAGGCCTGGAACCCTCTTCCCAACAGGGACACCCCAGAGTGTGTGTATCTCCTCTATTCACCCCTTTTGACACTGATCGACAGCAAGCAGTGAGCACACAGCAAAGAATCTGGGTGGAATTTGTGAATTAAAAAAATGAATTATCCCCTGCAGGCCATCGCTAGAAGCCTGAACATCCACCTCCTCGACGATACCTAAGGCAGCCCGGAGTTCCAGGCAGAGGTGAGGGTTGTGGGCGCAGGCTGGGATGAGGGTGGGGGCTAGGCCGGGCACATGGGGCGCGGTCAGGGTGGAGAGGCTTCGCTGGC